CTCTTAACTTGTATTTAGTGCCTGAATATTTTAGTCATATATACTAAAACAGGGGGAAAGTGTTGAAGACACACTCTGATTGACTACTTAAACTCCAAATATCCCTCACTATTGACCTCCGAACGACACATGCGAAATTTGCGCCTGAAAATGCTGTAATCGCTGCAGGAATAAATTGGTTAAATTCATATTGATGTCATATTATGTCATTGTTCTAGTTTATACTAAAACAGTTATACACCTCTGTGTCGGTGGCTGGTGGTGGATATTTAGTTTGCCTTTTTTGCTCGGTGAATATCCACGTGAATAGTTTTTAATATCAGATATCAGTTACAACCTCTGTGGGCAGGGGGGTAAGGGGGTTCATGGGGGAAGAAATTCCAGGGGGTAGAGGGTAACATTGCACTTAGGGGGAAAAAGAAATATTATTGGTTTCTTCATGCTACAAGACTTGATGTAAGCCTCCGCAGTAACATGTACCTGGGTGAGACTAAACTTGTTTTTTTTTTCTCGTAGCACCAGAATTTTTCCGTTCCAATCCTGCTTGCACCCACCGACTGATTCCATGGCTTACAAGAGATTTAAGGGCGTTGTTGAATGACGTGGAGAGTCATGTCAGTTTTGTTCTTCAGATTATTTTGTCTCTGATCAACAAGTAAGTCATGTTTAGATGTGAATCACTCCATGATTGTGTTGTAAGGAATGCCGTCTGTATCAGAATTACTTCTTGCCATTTAGATAAATTTTCGACTGAATATCGGAAATACGTGTGATCCGAGATTGTATTGGTTTTGCTTTACTTCGCTCTGTTATTGGTCCAGAAAACTCGCGCCACTCTCTTAATTAACCAATCAAATGTAAAACTAAAACAAATCACAACTCGGTCGCCTGCGTTTTCCCGCGCTTTAGTCAGTTTGGTTGTTTTTACTTATACTGTAGGTCTCATTGACTCTTAGAAGTATTTTCCTTTCTTCTGATTGGACATTGTCCTTACTTTGGTTCGAAAAGAGCTCTTTGACGCTTATTACGGCGCATAGAGAACTTATACCCCCTTGATCAAAACAACTAAACATCTCAGTTTAAGAATTAAACCTTTCTCTTTTTTTCACTGAAACGAGAAAAGATAGAAGATGGCCAAAACTTTTATGTGGATAAAGGGGGTAAGTTTCTAAAGAAACTGTGGTGCTGCGTCGGTGGGAGAGTGAAACAGGGTAATTTAGCATTATCATTTGAGTTGAAAAAGTAAATTGGCCAACGTGAAGGGTGTGAAAGCTATCGTTTCGAGCGTTAGCCTCTCGTCAGAGCAAACTTAGACAGGCTAACGCTTGAAACGTTATCAACTCAATTGATAACACCAAATTACCCTTTCATGTAGATAGGCTGAGTTTTTAAATCTGTACTATTACATTTTCAGGGTTGAGCTTAGTTCTGAAGAGTTTTCTCGCCAGCTGCAGCCTTTCCTATTTGACAAAACAGATCATTTTATCCACGAGTTTATAGGCTTTGCTCGTTCGCCATTTGATATGACTGCTTATGATGAGCGTGCGCAGTACAGCTGGCCAAGTGAGTCAGAGCAGGAACCCAGAGATACGCCGACTGTGTTTCACAGTCAAACTTCAGGTCTGAACCGTTTATAACCATTTTATATCGGAATTAAAGGAATTAAAGCCGTTGTATATGCAACGTTATTAGACCTAACCCTCCCTTGTTCGCTCTGTGGATTGTGTTGGCCGATGAGTTTACGTTGGCATGGTGTATAATAGTAAAACAACGGATTTTTCGTAGGATAATCCAAGGTAAACCCCTCCGAAGCGTTGCATGACTAGTGTTTTCATAAAAAGCCATGTTACAGTTGTGTACTTAATCGCCAAGCCTTTGATTTGAAGCGAGGCTGAAGGTGACCATGCTGTGATAGAGACCAGCGTCTAGTTAGCACGATAATAAAGACCAACAAAGTAATTTACATTTGAAAAGCAGTAACGTTTGTAGCAAACCAAGGTCAATCTTAGCTTCACTCCTGTTCAAAGGCTTGGCAACCAAGCAGGCAACTGTAAAATGGATTATACACGCTTAGATGGGAAAAGAGGAGAGTGGTATAAGGAAAATAGTTAGGCATCGTTTACATTTGACTTCCGTGGTGTAACACTCTAAAGCGTCTCATTAAGGTAGAATTCTCAAAACTGCTCAATGTGGGCATGTAATAATATTATTAGAAATTGTTAGTGCCTAGAACGCGAAATTTTTCTAAACAGTTCGGCCGGATAATGACAGCTTCAAATCCTCAACTTGGTTGGGGAAAATTTTTTAAAAATATCAAGAACGGAAAAGGAAGAACTTGAATCGGTTAAAAAAAATAATTTTTGAGGTATTCAACACAATATTAATGTCTAGCGGTCCCCTTTCTACATCAGGCTGGCATACACCTGTCCCAGGCCCCTCTGGCGAAACTCTGTGGCAAACAGACTGGAATAGAGATTCTCCAGCGCGGCAAACTGTAAACAACAGGTGGTCTCCAAGCTCATCACCAGGCACATCCGGACTAAATGGTCGAGCTGGTTTGGAAAGGACTGTGACCATCTCTTCATCGAACTCATCAGTTAGTCCGCAAACAACTCTAGTAGACATTGAACCCACGACAAATTATCAAGCGTCCAATGCGTCATCCGACTCTATAGGGCGTAGTAACAGGAAGAGGTCTTCCAAGGAAACTGTTGGAGAGAAGACACAAGTGGAAACGGAGAACAAGCATCAATACCATCACTATCATCGTAATTCACACAAACACAAACATAAAAGGAAAGAGTCTAAAAGATCGAGCGAGAAACGAGACAGAGGCAAACTTTGTGGAGATACTAATCATGTTGATAATGGTTTAGGCCCGTCTTGTTCTACAAATCTTTCTATTGTTTCTTCAGAATTTTGTTCATCTCCACAGGAGTTTATTGTAATCAGTAGTGATACCTCTACCTCTCCGGTATCTTCCACTGTTCGGCCAGGACCTTCGTGCAACGATGCAACGCAATTTCAACGAAGGAAGGAAGGGTCTGGATCGCGGTCAAAATCTGGATTACGACTGCTGTCTAAAGGAAGGGGAGTTTTTCAAGAAGACAAACGTTCGCGAAGTCACTCTGTTAATGCTAAAACGCGCTCAAGGGATCGTTCACTTTCGGTTGAAGAGCGTGCGATTGAAGAACATCGTCGATGGCGATCAAACTCTAGGGAAAGACGGTTGAGAGATGATAGTCAACGTTTATCTCCGTCAAGAAAATCTGGTAAGCACAGTCAAGAAAAGATAGGAAAGTCCTCTTTAAGTCCATCCCAGACTCACTGCAAACGTAAAACGCGCGGCGAGAAAATTGACAGTAGACGAACAAAGGAGTATGGTCGATCTCGTTCAAGATCGGGGTCTTACTCTCGAAACTCCAGATCACGACACTCACGATCACAGAAATCACGGACAAGGGACTCACGATCACGCAGATCACGATCAAGATCGCGAGGTTCGCAGTCACATAAATCCCGATCATCGCGAAATTCACATTCCCGGTCACGAGACTCTCGAAACTTACGGTCTAATTCACAATCAAGATACTTCTCACGAGCTTGCACGCCTCTGTCATCGCGAACGCACCATAGCGTTTCCCGTTCGCGCAGTTCTTCTATATCAACAGCGAACTCTGAATCCAAAGTAAGGGAGTCAGCGTCGCACAGTAATGACGCTATTAAGAGGGAAATTGAAGATTTGGAAAGTCGCATAGTGGCTGACAAGAAGCGACTTCTGAGGCTTTTAATGAAAAAGGAACAGGCGGAAACCGCTTAATTATGACAACAAACTAAAGATTAGTGACAAATTGCAGCGAACTGTTGGTTTATCGAGTTATCTTTAAATTTGTTAGTGCCTACCGAGACAAAATTCATGTAATTATGGAATAGTAAAAAAGTTATTTCTATATATATGTCAATCAGGCATTGTGGAGAATTGCAAAATTTAATTTTTGTGCAAAACCAATTTGGTATCAGGGATCTTTGGCGAGAATTGAAGCTTTTACCATCTTCCCCTATAACACATGAAATGAAGTCCAGATCAGAATAGCTTATCCGAATTTATTAGTAATAGAGTGACCAAGAAGGCATTTCTTTTTTCAACATAAGTACATTTTCCACTAGAAATCTGATGAGGATAAAGGAAAATTCCTTAGATTCGTTCTTTCATGTAAAAACAAGTTGTTAGAGTCAAAATGGTGAGAGTTTTAGTAGAGAGTAAAAAAGAAGGGATAACTGAGATTCTGAACGTGGAATGGATGAAAACGATCGAACTTGGGAGTACATCGTTAACCGCTGTATTGACTCAGGTCGTTTATAGCAGACGAATGACGCTTTTTAGTACACTGTTTGTTAGGAGGAAAGTTTCGGATCGTACGCTTCTGAATCAGATCGCACGAAGCAGTTTTTACTCCGCCAACCATAGGTTAAACGTCAGCGCATGTGCGAATGTTTTACTGATTTAAGTGGCTTGCTTTCAGGCTCTCAGTACCAGGTTGTCTCACAAGAGTCTACCGCAACCACGCAAGCTTGACAACTAAGCAAATCAATTTTTTATTTCTACCACAATTGCAAATATTTGATTGGTAACAGTGTGGTGGAGAACGTGATTGGTAGTGTGAGGTATCTGACCGTTAGTTAAGGTCAAATCTTCCTTCACTCCAGAATGTTTGGCCTCTTTAGCCTGCTAAGAGACAATGCCTCCCCCCCCCTCTCATACCTTGTAAACAGCAAATTTGCATGATAGAAAATGGCATATCTAACTGTCCATGTTGTGACATTAACACTGGATGAAAAAGACAGACATTTGGTCAAAATACATACGACACATTTCTTTCAGTTCTGCAACTGAGCAGAATTGGTCTCTATTCTAGTAAAAAGCCCTCAGCCAGTTTCTCAGATACTCGCCTATCTTGCTAAGATAGATGATGCAATGGCTTGATTGCCAATAAGCCTAACTGGTAACTTGTTATACCTGTTAGCTTCTACTAATATGTTCAAAAACTAAAACAAGTTTTTCATTTAAAGGGATTCAGTCGACTGGAACTACCAAGGAGATAGAGAAAGATGTTTTTTCGTCTTGTTACGAGCGCTCCAATGCTCTAACCACTGAGCCACAGAGACTCCACGGTGAGCGAGGTCTATTCCGAAGTTCATATGACACGCGCCTGCATACTGCTAGGATCAGATATGTCGATAGCGTAATGTTTGTAGATAGAAATAAGAGAGATGGTAAGTTTTGAGCTCGGTAAAGAAAAAGAGAAAGTTGTTTTTTCGTCTTGTCACGAGCGTGGGACAAAGAAAAAATTCTGAGACGAAATTGAGAATCACGACTGAAAGTAAAAAAGTATACATTACTTCAGCTACATCTCTAGCATGATTATGATTTGCATCATGGTTGCCATAACACCAACACCTTAGTGCCTTTTTGAAAGCTTCTTTAAACTGCGGATTCATAATCCAATAGATGATTGGATTTAACAGACTACTATGGAACTTCAAACACAATGCTTTTCTAGGTGCTACATGGGGAGCATGATCTCCAGCAATGGCTACATTAGAAACTATGGATGGAGGACCCCATGTAGTTAACAGCGAGCAAACCACCTTGAAACAAGTCTTCAAAGTTTGATATCGGTACGATGGATCATTGGTGTACCGACACCATTTTGCTCGTCATTTGTTTTGATATTGTGCGCGTGCCGTCAAACCTCGATTGAAAAAACGATGAAATTGTATGGCAATCATTTTAGAAAAGTCAAGAGTCAGTGTGCTTGTTACTATGCCAGTATCCTACTTTTATTGCTCTTCGGTTCTACAGTAGTAATTTTCCTCTCACTGGTCATCGAGCTTCATTGCTCTTGGTATGCATCATTACCGCTGTAATTCTTGCATGGGTCTGATTTGAATGATCGTTGCCACATGAACAACAACTGAATACCTTTTTGAGGGCATCTCTAAACTGCGGATTCATGATCCCATAGATGATTGGATTAACCAGAATCCCGGAGAAAATAAAATACGGAGCTACCTTATGCACCTCAGCAGGTGGATAATCTCCAACAGCGGTTAAAAGAGCGCCTAAGCATGGAGGAGCCCAGGTAATTAAAAAGAAACAAACCACTGTGAAACAACTCTTCAAAACTTTAATGTCGGTATGATGAAGCCTGGGAGTACCAACCTTATTTTGTGTGACATTGGTGTTGACGTCATCAGCACTTTTTTTACTTGCCTGTAAATTTCCTAATAGCAATAAAATATCGCAGATGTTAACATGACCCAGGTCCCTCCAGTAGTTGCTAGGACATAAGATAAGTCAAAGCTGCAAAGAAGGGAACTCGAGTCGAACTACAGCTTTCCCAATCCGTACAACGGAGGCGTGGCGATTATGAGAGAACACAGCCAGACGAGACCACAGTACAACCAAGCAACTCTTTTGCTGGGGAAGAAATTGATATACAAGGCTCGCTGGACGACTTTTATGTACCTGTTCATGGCAATTAAGGCAATATTTAACATAGAGGACACACCCATAGTAAGTCGTGATGTTGCGGTGACATGACACCATTCTTGGGTCAAATTTCAAGTTACCGTGTAAAGGGTCACCGTAAAGATTTCAGTCAGTAAAAGATTGTGAATAAACATTTTGGTGGTGGTTCACCTCTCATAGTATTTATTCATAACGTTAACTACCAGCACATTACTAAGTATGGCGGTGAGGCAAATCAGGATTGCAATTGCTACCTCCATAACAATTTCTGCCCTCGAGCGGCCAAGAGGATCTGGGAAAGTTGCTTGGGACATCCTAGTCTGTAACAAATGAAGAATATATCCATAGGACAATTTGAATTGCGAAAGATGCTATAGATAAGGTTAATCCGTTTGAAGCAATGATGAAATGTAATATGCAAGGACTTCGTTAAAGAATGAAGATATCCAACCCATCAAACTTCTTCCTCTTAAAAAAAAAGAGGAAATAAACTTATATAAAATCAAATTTCTAAGAGTCTGTTCTAATTTCAAAGAATAACTAATTTTCTTTTTTAACCCGTGGAGGCAGAAATATCAAGGTATCTGTCAAGCTCCGGTTGAAACCTGGTCAAGAGTTTTTCCAAATTGTGTTTTTCTTGCGTCGACTGACTTTCGCAATACTATAATGCAAGAAAGCCAATATGCTTGAATTATTTCATCCTTTCTTTCAAGCTGATTCAATACTTATTTCCTGATGAACAATGAGTTCAGTAATTGCAAGAAAATTACAAAGAATTAACCTATTTAAAAGAGTTACCCTAACTCAACATATATTGTTCTATGATCGTGGATAAACGGTCTTATTCGTTTTCTCGACCAAATGAATTATTCTGAAGCAAAAACTGGAAATCGTTCAACCTTTGTCGGTACTTTAATTACCTGTTTAATATGAGAAAGCTTTCAAGACTTTATACTAAAAAAACTCAATATTCTAGGTAAATAAATCTCGTAATTCATTTCCTTAAGGGGCAGGGGTAGTTTTCTATTCTCTGGTGAGGTCATCATCTTTTACAGTGGAAATGAAAGATATCTTTGTCGTATTTCGATACCTTTGATTGGAGCGGTACTAAAAGTTGATAACCTATAATGAGTCAAGAGAGCTTGAGGATGAGTGTCCTAAAACCAGCACAAAAGGAAATACCATGGTCGCTTTTCGAAGCAAATGACGAGGTTTATTACCACCGGTCATCTATAATATTGGATTTTCCGTTAAAACTCTAAAAAGCTTTCTCACATTAAGTAGGCAATTAAAGTGATGGCAGAAGAGAAATAATTACTCTGGTTATTGTTGCATAGAGATGCATTTGATTGGGACAATAAAGGAGACTGCCTAATTATGATTATAGCATTGTGAAAAAGGTTTCTTTTTCCGTTTGCTTTTCTGGAAACTACTAAACTCACAGTTCAGACCAGGAAATAATTATGAAATCATTATGAGAGAAACAATTAAACAAGTTAAGGATAATGACTTTCTTGTGTTCTTGTGCTACGTTATGAATTATCATACTTGAGCGACTCTTACACGAATATCTTATCAGTCATTCCTTTTTCCCTGCGAAAGGTTCAAGATTGTGGCATGGGTGGCCGGTAAGGACAATAATCTTGATTCTCCAGCCTCACTGAGTTACTACAAACGTGAGTATTTGAGATTATGTGTACTATATATGATTTAGCGAGAGACTACGGAGAGAACTATTAAAATAATCCGAGAGAAGCGATTTCACGTCGCCAGCTTAAAATGTTATTTTCTATTTCTTGAGACTAGGAATTCATCTAGGAATTAAAATTCATCTGGACTAAATACGGACAATTTTTAGCGCTATCAAGTTGCTATTAGACAGATATCGGTAAGATCACACCGCTTTTTTATGTCCACAAGAGACACAAGAAAGAATTTTGAGGTAACATTTTCATTTCTTTTTGACACCTCATACAGTTTGTTTGCGCATTTTTAAATATGTTTTATTATATAAAAATAATGAAACCTGTTATGGAAGTCTTTATGAAATTATTCCTTTAAAAATTAAAGTTTCAGTGATCGTGGGCGGACGAGTGCTTTACAAATGAACTACACGCGGTTTTAATCACAGAAAACCTGTTAGAAATTCGAAACGATTGCAGAACTGATGATTGCAGCAACAAATTTAACGGTAGTTGGAACGCAGACGAAAACTTTTCAAGAACTGGCATGTTCCCCTCTTTTGGTTGGTGAATTACAAAAACAATCTTTTTGTTTCGCAGTTGTCA